TACAAATGGCTTGTGCCTTGTGAATCTTAAAATTAGAGGTTAGAGGCTAAGCTTAAAATAAGCTGAATTCGATATTTCAATCTTAAAATTCCTAAGAGCCAAGCTCAAAGCATAAATAGGTTTGATTAATTGAGCACCATGTATGGTGTTCGACACTGAACTTAGCTCAAATAGTAACACCAATATGGGTTTGCTGATTTTATAGTCATATAGAAGAGCTAGCTCTACGTCTAAAAAATGTGCACTAGTTAATATCCAAGAGTTTGAACACACAAGCAAAGAGTTTTTGTCACTTTCAGTCCACTGACTACTATGTCAATGACATTTTGATATTCTATTTTGAAATTTTTCACTTTTATTCCTTCGATTATTGCGCAAGAGATACTTTGGTACTCGTCTTTGAGATATTCCATATTTAGTCATTCAATTTTCATAAAAGTGACACTTTTTTCCTCCTTCAACTATTATCATAGTGAAATTTTTGTCATCCACTTCTTGTGACAAAATTATAACGGAATGACTAAAAGTGTCAATTTGACAATACTTGAAGAACTAAATGTGGGTATTTTAAAGTCAAGGACTAAAAATATCCCTCACACAATAGTCAAAGAACCAAAAATGTAAAAATAAAGAGTAAGCTAAAAGCAATTATGAGTCCTAATGACTCGTAGGTAACCTCATAATCCCGATTTTAGCATACGTTTGGCTATCTTTTTAAAAGAGATTATAAGGTTGATGTGAAATATTTGCCTAGGATTGGCTTAAATACAAGGCAAGAATAATGACATGTAAGCTAAAATCAGGATTAGGAGGTTGTCAACGGCTCGTTTTGACTCATTCGATTGCTTTATATAAGTAGACGTATTTAAATGATACTTTATCGAGTGCATGACCTTATGTGACGATTCCGTAATAATAGAAAACCTTATTTGACCCTTTTTCCAAAAATAAAAGTCGAATATTAAAAGTGTCACCGACACAATAGTCAATAGAAAGACTAAAAGTAGAGAAAACTCCACAAGCAAACAATAGTAAGGCTATGGGTAAGGACATAAGTAAGGGCAGGCCATCTAGGTCCCGGCGCACCTCATTTAAAAAAAACTCCAATGATACATGTATAAAATTTTATGCAAAGAATATCTGAAAAAATATTTATACTAATCCAATCCAATTTCCTCACAATGGGGGAGAGAAAGACGTAATGATCAGAAAAGAAAAAATTACTCAAATAGAAATAAAACATAGGCTAAATTCTAAAATATGACTACATATGCTTTCTTCCACAAATAGGGTTACATAATTGTACTAAAAGAATAAAAAAATAACAACTTACCTAAATAGGGGTGCATGAGTCATATTTTAAAAAGAATATAATAATACACCTATTTGATAAAGACTATATTTGTTATGGTATACTCTATTTCGAGAATTTTCCCTAAAAAATTATGGATCACAAGAAGGGTCATTATTAGTGTAAACTGCTTTGTACACCTTTCGTAAACCATGTTTATGTACAACTGTATAGAGATAATTTCCAAAAAAATCATTTTTTTTTCTTAAAAAAATCATGTTTTAGAGGACTTGTCTATGTACATGCAAAATAATAATGTGTATAAAAAGTGAAATTATGTGTATAAAAGGTGTGCGAAAAAGGTTACAAATAGATTCTTATAAAAGTAAGGGGGTGTTTGGATCTGATTCTTAACATTGTTTCTGCTCCTTCGAGGAGCAGAAACAGAAATTGAAGTGAAGTGTTTGGGTGAAAATGCAGAAGTACTTCTAGTGCTCTATTTTACTCATAGATTCAGTTTTTTTAGAACCTATGGGAGACCAGCTACTGAAAACTGATTCTGATTTTACTTTAAACATATAAGAAGAAGCAGAATGAGTTCCAACACCCCTTAAAGCTTCAATAGAATGAACGGAAAACCATCTCAATCACATAATTTTTATTTTACTTCTCATACAAATCAATTTTGAGAAATTTTGAGAAATAAAAAATATAAAAAAACTATTCTGAAATTGCAAAACTTTTTTAATTCTACTTGAGGAATTTCTCATTCCCAATTGATAATTCGTTAGATCTATCAACCATGGTATTCCGTACTAATAAGTTGGGACATAGCCTGTCGAGCATGAGCTAATAAGTGGTTGATATGACTGGACACTATCTGACCTAATTTTCTTCCTAGTACATAAATTTGATTCTGAGAATCTCAACAGTACTACTCCTATGTTACCAACCCCTTAAATAACCATTCCCCATAGGGCCATGGTGCTCACTAGCTTGAAGTGCTCATTAAATCTTAATGATTTGTGTTATGATGTTTGAGTATGTTTTAGTGATAATAAAGTTAATTTATTCCTTATACGGAGTGATTATAGGGCCTGTCTTGAGGCATGGGCAAAGGGGTATGCACCCCTAGCCCATTGCTCTTCTAGGGCTCATAAATTTCCCAATTATATACTCGTATATACATATGTATTTATATATGTGTGTGTACATTGTATAATCTAAAAAATTTAAAATAAAATATAACTTATAATTTTTCAATATTTTCAATTCATTATTCAACAACATCTACAAGCTACAAATCAACAATTTTGAAACATCCACAGCAGAATTCCTTGGGAATAGAATTCATCATTTCTTTGGATTCATTAAGGGTTAGCGTATACGTGTTAATCTTTCCATTTGCTTCTCTCATGTAATCCCATAATTCATTGATAGTATTTTGATAATTTCTTTTGGTTCTCTCATGTAAGTGAAGTATTGAATTATACTACGTGAAACTTTTTACGACCTTTCATTTGACATCGATATTGCATTTACTCCGTATGAAGTTAAAAAAACATGAAGTTTTAAATGTTTGAGATTTTTAGGTCCGAAAATTTCTTACGTGAATTAAAGTACTAAAATTAAGATCTCACAGTGAAAATATTTTTTACATCTTTCAGTTAATTTTGCAACAAAAAAATAAATTCCAAATTTATTTATTTGTACATTGGAATATTTGCCATTTTAAATCATACAGAGTAGTTTTTTATAAAAAAGGAAAAAATTGATATATAATAATAAAGGTAGAGATTTTTTTAATTAAAAAATTGTGTTGGGTAAATATATTTACGGTGCTAGATTGAATAGAAAAACTGGACAAACTGAATCAATACACAAATTTATATAAATTGTTTGGGAAATAATTTTATTGATGGAGCGGAATTGCAATCTACCTTATACTCCCTCCGTTCTTTATTATCTGTCCCACTAGCCTTGGGCACACGTTTTAATAGAAAAATAGTAGGGTAAATGTAGAGTGTGTAGGGTAAATGATAAAGTAGGAAAGAGAGTATATTAAAAAGAGTAAAGTGATGATAAAGTGAGATAAAGTAGGAAAGAGAGTATATTAAGTAGAGTAAAATTATGATAAAGTAGGAAAGAGAAAGTAGTTTGTAAAAAGTAAGAGGGGTAAAAGTAATAAAAGTGGGAGTATTTTATCAAAAACTTTCCTAAAATAGAAAGAGAGACAAATAATAAAAAACGTCCCAAAAAGGAATGCGAGACCGTTAATAAAGAACGGAGGGAGTATGTTACAACATAATTATTATTTAGCATTTCTATGTACATTATTCGTACATAATACATAAACTAATTAAACTACACTCTCTTTTGAAATATTATCTTCTTTAGTCTATTAAATATACACATACAGTGAGACATTCTCACATTACTCGTTATTACCATAAATGAAGCTTCACTAATAGAGTAAAAATAATAATACTTTTATATACATTTACTCCGTATTAATTTATTGTTTTATGTTGGAGATTTATTGAAAAAATAAAGATGAAGTGTTATTTTACATGGTCCTTATCCAATTTTGTTGTAAAAAAGGGAATACTACGTTTTTGAATTGTAATGTTGTTATTTAGCATTATGAGCACCAATTAGTTTTTGAAATGTAATGTTGTTATTTAGCATTATGAGCACAGATTAGTATATCGTGGTACCGGCGCACGGTGAGCATCCTGCTTCCAGAGTTCTTTTTTAATTTCAACGCAAGGCTGATGTAACTCATGTTTAAAGGAATGTAACTGATATTGAAAAGAAATGTAACTTAATGAAATGTAAGTTATACTCGTATAAATTAAAATATAAGGAAAATATTTATTTTAATGTAAAGAATGAAAAAATGAGTCTAATTGTCCAATAATTTTACATAAATAGTGTACATATTTTGTTTTTAATATCAAGACTATAAAAAAATTATAGAAAAAAAAATCTTTGAATAACTGAGATTTATTTTATTGTGTAACTCGCATTATATTGTAATGTAACTCACATTATGAAAAATGTAAATGACGTGTAAGTAAGGTGTAACTTGTTGAGAAAAGTTGACATGTAACTCTTGTGTTACAATATGTAATTTTAGCCAAACTGAAATGTAACTCCAGTGTATGTGAAATGTGACTTGAGTCGAAATCAAAAAATAAGCATACAAACGTAACTTGAGCACCAAATATAATCAACATATAACCGAGTGGAAGAGACCAGTAAGCATTTTCCTCATATTTTCAATTAATTGTGAGTATGACTTATTGTATTTATAAACCCTTATATTTTACTCCACCATGTACGTCTAACATTGTATACGAAATTTAATCATGTCGCACAATTTTTTTAACACAACCCAATAAACAATAATGCATACAGGAAATATAAGTACACACATCGATACTCTTATTAATTAGGGAGAAAGAAATCCAATAGATACCATTTGTTTTTACAAATAAAGAGTGAACCCACCAATATACGGAGTACTATATATAAATAATTCTATAAATAAGTAAATTAATAGATAGATAATTAATAAATAAATACATACTCCGTAAATAAGTAAATACATAAATAAATAGATAAATAAATAAATAAATAAATATGTTTTCCCTAAATAAATAATAAATAATTTTTAATAAATAAATAAATAGGGGGTAGGGCATACCTAGAGCTAGCAAACTCGAAGAGCTTGCCGGTAGAAGAGAAGACGACGAGAGCAACTTGTGCATCACAAAGCACAGAGAGTTCTTGAGCTTTCTTGAAAAGCCCTCTTCTCCTCTTTGAGAATGTTACTTGTCGAGCCGTTATGTTATCTATCTTCTTTATCTTTATCTTCTCTCTGGCCATTTTTTCTTTTTTAATTCCTAAACACCGAAGTATTAATTAATTTTCTTCTTTAAATAAACAAATAAATATTTAACCTTTATATATATATAGATAATATTTCCTCCCGATTTGAATCATAAAAAAAACCATATACGTACATCAGATCCTTTCCGCATCTTGTTCACAGAAATAATATCTGAGAATTAGCAAATAATTTTTCTAGAGAAAATTTTCTTGAATTGGAGATAATTAAAGCTGACCCCTTTTTATTAAAATTTATTTGGGGAAAAAAACAGTGTTGAGTTATTAACAGAAACCCTAACTAGATTACAAGCTAGAGGAAACTAAAAAGCAAAACCCCATATATATAGTAAACCTGGATGAGTTGAATGGGATTGAAATCTCTCCCTCTAGATAGGTCAGATGCATAAATTCTTCTTCGATTTATAGGGATAGGGACTGTTTGGCATAAATATCTCCAACTCTGGGCAGTGTTTATTAGAGATTCTATTCTATTTCTGGGCTGCAGATCTGATGGATATGGTGATGCCTGGCTTCTTCTTTTTTGCCTAAATAAAAAAAATGGCCGTGTGATACTTTGCCGAAATAGAAAAGAGAGAGAAAGAGTGGGATTACTATTTTGAGCGGAAAGTCCATTTCGGATATAGTGTAATGTGTATAAATAAATGCACATACCTAATGAAAACCTATTCAGAAGTTTTAAGGTTACTATTCTTAGTAATTTCTTTCGGTTGTCACCGTCTCCCTTTTTCTTCTTTCTCGGGGACTTGCTACAAGTGAAGTTAAAGGGGATGTTTGCCCTTTTCACCCTTTCACTTTCAAATGGTGAATTTCAAATCGAGCAAAGTATCTAAATTCTGTTTTAAAACATCACTACTTAATTAGTAGAAGTACTCTCAAACACTATTTAAATGTGTTTTTAAGGGACATTTCCCAAAATATGACTAAATAGAGTTTGGAATTACATAATAGGACTACTATATTTTCTTCCTGAAATAAGACTAAGGTGACGGTATTTATTGACATCTTTTAGTCATGACTGTCAAATAGTTGCAGCAGTGTGCATTTAGCACGACATCGAAACAAATATAAAATCACTCTTCCAATAAATGATGGTGGTTCGGGAGGGAGCGAACCATCGATAGCGCCATAGACGATTTGAGAAAATAGATGCTTCTCATAAAAGTAGATCCCCGCTCATACGAGCACCAAAACCACTTTTTAGACATAAAACTTATTTCAAGGGGAAGAAAAACTAAAAATTGTGAGGTTAAGATTATTAAAGAGGAGAGAGAAACAAATTAACCACATATTTTTTGCTCCAATTGAAAATAATAAAGTCTTATGAGATGATAAAATAAAGAAAGTTGACAAAATTTAATGGGACAGAAGTACATCATAGTAGGCATATTTTGTATGGGGTTACTTAGGTAAGACTAGTTAATCCGTATATTTAAATCACTAAACTTTCGACGGAAATTGTCCTAAATAAGATTTAAAACGTATTGAAAATCCAAAATATGGCAATCATGTTTTTATTCTTGAAATAGGAGTAATTACTGTCATGTTTTGGCAGTACCAGGCTTTAAACGTGAAAGTATTTTTTAAACTTGAAAATAATTACTAATATTTAGAAAATAAAAACATGGCAGTCCTATTTTGGAATTCCAAAACATTTTTACTCCTATTTCGAAAATATTCCTATCTTTTCATCAAGACTATATTATGTTTTTGAAAATCTAAAACATTATAATTGTGAATATAGTTTAATATCCTTGATTTGTGTCAATGCTTTTTATGCACACAAGCTTGAATGTTCTTATTAAAATGTAGTACTAACTTTTCTTAAAGACTAAGAGCCCGTTTGGTAGCACGAAAATCGGCTGACTTGGCTGATTCTGCTGAAATTTATGAAGTTCTGGCTGAAGTGGCTACATTGGCTGATTCTGCTGATTTAAGAAAAAATAATTTTAAAATATATTTTATTAATAAAATAAAGAAAAATTATATGTAAAAAAAGCTAAAATGGTCATCTACAGTAACTTCAGCCAATACAAACAGAAAAGTAACCCAAAACTTACTTTTTCAGCTTATTAAACAATTCAGCGCGCGAAAGCAAAAGTTACGTGTTTGATGAAAAAGTTGGTTATAAGCCGGAAAAAAATGTTACCAAACGACCTCTAAATAACCTTACCCCATTAAAAACTTAACTTTTCAAAGTCACATTATGCTAATATCAGTGCATTATTACTGCCATTATGACCACCTCGATCCAGGGCCGATCCTGAGGGGTAACAAGGGCGACCGCCCTAGGCCCAAAATTTTATAGAGACAATAATAGGCCCGAAAAAATTTCTCCATATATAGTATGAGTAAGCTTCTTTTTTTATTTTTAAGTTCAATTAATTAGGCCTAGTGTTTAAATTTTGTTGACAAATTCAAAAAATAGAATATAAGTAAATATACATCTCCTTAGCTTTTAATAGGACCAGTTGTAGTTTTTAAAGCAACACAATGAATCATTAAAAGACACATTTCTTCAGTCTTCGCATCTCTTTAGCTTTTAATTTTTTTTTTATTCTTTTAATCGAGAAACCATTTAAGTAATTTTTCTTTTTATGTAATACTTGTGTTGTTACGTTTGCCCAAATATGTAAGAAATAGTTACATATATATGACTAGAATAAATAATGATTATTTACAAAAATGTGACTAATTACTAGAATTATAATGGAATCATAGTAACTTATGTTCAATTTTTAAACTTAAGTTACCATGACACTACACGTGTCACGCCCCGGACCTACCCGGATACGTCAACAACCCGCCGTACAGTACGAATAGTCAACCACAGTCCAACTCATCCATACTATACAAGGCGTCTTGAATACCATTCACACATAGTACATCCATAAACAAGCATAATGTAAATCATTCATTTAAAACAGCGGAAGCATAAATACAATTGTTCAAGCCACACTTGGCATAACTCGGCATACAAGCCCCCAAAGTAATTATTCAAAAATAATATCCATGAGCATTAACGTAGTTGTTTTTAAAGCAGAACGGAAGAAGCACGAACCACGTCTTCTCCCCTTGATCCTCCCGAAACCACGGGCGATGGTAGCAACCTTCAAGTTCTACCTGAAACTGTGAGGTGGCCTCCCCCGTGAAGGGGAGGTCAGTACTTGGAAATATTTGACAAGTACAATAGCAACTATACTAAGTATAATCAACATTTTAATTTCCAAGACCCTCGACTTAGGGTACTATTATATTATAGGCCATAACCCTCGGTTACCCCTTTTACTTTTAACTGTACTTACTTTATATAAAGTCAAGTAGTCGGCCCGTAGGCCCATATTCATTTAGAATTCATCGTTTCCATTCCCCCGTGACCGCAAGTCACGATAACCCCGTGGGGTCCCATCGAGCCCCAATTGTATAGCATGGGCTCGGCCCAACTACATCTCTATACAATCCTCCAGCTCAATATATCATATCAAAATTTGTATGGCAAGGGCTCGGCCCAACTACGTTTCCATACCAACCATAACTTCGTGGCAAGGGCTCGGCCCAACTACGTTTCCACGGAGGTCACATATACATGGCAAGGGCTCGGCCCAACTACGTTTCCATGCTTATCATATTACATGGCATGGGCTTGGCCCAACTACATCTCCATGTCATCCTAGAGTCCAACTCTAATTATTTTCATAATCAAATTCTCAAGCAAATCCTATGCCTAGAATCAATTCCCGTAGGTGGCCTTTAGGCCTACCCCTATCACACCTTAGTGTTCATACCATTCATCCTTAAGTATCTCTTGAGACTACTTAAGGCATATCTATTCACAATCCTACCTCTTAGGATTTGTTTCATCATTTATTTATATTAATTCCCCGACTAGTATTTTGATACTAATTGAATAATCTTAAAACATGCCAAGTCCTATTTCCCAATTGGCATTTCATTTCCACTGATTTCTCAACCCAAGTATAGTTTGATCTCAATATCAAAAATATCACTTTAATCCATGCATGGATTTCATACATGAAGTAAAGTATATTTTATCACAATGTCATCATAGTAATTCCATTAACATGTCGTTCCATTCATTTCACATAATCATACACAATTATTCTAAATTTGTATATCATGTTTCACTTACTCATATCCATATTATTTTCATTTAGGCATTATTAATCATTGATAATCCATGAAAATCCCATCTAATTACTTTAGGCATTCTTATGAAATTAACTCACTAATTATAAGCAATATAGTCAGTCATCCTCACCTTATGATGTGCTCAACTAGCTGCCTTAGCGGAACCCCCTCCATCAGTCCTCGTTCTAGGCCGTTCAAGAGTGAAAAATCTGGAAGTCGAGTGAAAGCCGGGCGGCTTTGGTGAAAGGTGGGCGGCTTTCGGGCCTGCAGCTCGAAAACAGTCCCCTACAATGGCGGTTTTCCGGCGGTTTCGACTCCTATCGATTCCACAACTCTTCTAAGTTAAATACCACCATTATATATCAATATTCTACACTTTTAAACGTGTAGAACATCATGTTTAATCCACCATATGATTTATTAAAAATCATACACAAATAAACTAGTTAAAAGTGGAAAACTAGTTGAGCTCTTACCTCTACTCTAGCTTTTCTTCTTGGGCTTTCTTCCTCCTGCCTCCTCAACTTGAGCTATGTAAGAGCTTCCTTGGATCTCTCTCTCTCCCTTTTCTTGCTGGCCGAATGGGTGCTATTGGTAGGAGATAACTCTCCTCAATCAATTGAGAGAGGTCAAATGGGTAGGCCAAGGGGTATGGGTGTTTGTCTCTATGAGACTTCCCCCCTCTCCTCCATCCGTATCATCCCACTCAATCATGTCCTACTCCCATTATTTGGTCAGCTAGCTCACCTAAAAAACGTGGGGTGGCCCCCACTTAGGTGGGAGGTCATTCCGTTGTGTCCCGGTGTGTACAATCGGCCCCGAAAGTTGTATTTTTCGGACTACTTTAGTCATATTTTATTTTATCGGACCAAATAAAATATATCATGCGTTCCCAATAATTATGGGCCTTTAGAATAGATGTATATTCCCCAAAATTAATTTAGGAGTCTCCGAAACTCATTTCGGGCTGTTATCCGCTAAATTACCAATACCGGTAATTGGGCCCCGTTTGACCAACCGGTCAACTCCATGCCTCCCTTATGGCCCAAATAAAATATCCACCACCATATAGATGTCATCTAGACCAAGATGAATATAATATATGGTTCGGGAATTATCGGGCGACCCCCGCTCCCGCTGTGGGCCCCACATGCAATTTACTATTCACGTAAAAGAAATAATAAAATTTAACACTTACGTAAATTCATAAATCATCCTTCAAGGTTTATTACATAATTTACTAAAAGTAAATATGCTTGGGGACGGTGCTACAAGTTCACCCCCCCTTAACGGGAATTTCGTCCCCGAAATTCACAATCCATTATTCAAACAGAAATGCATATTGCTCCTTCATCGAGGCTTCAGTCTCCCAAGTTGCTTCTTCAACCCGGTCACTTTTCCAAAGGATTTTAACCATTGGAACTTTCTTGCTTCTTAGCTTCTTTACTTGTCTATCAAGTATCC